AGCGATCAGACAGTGAACCGGTGTAAATCTCAGGGTTTTATATCAACAGGCTTCTCCAAAGGCTGTCCTGGGATGTGTGCCGAGGTAGTTTGGTGTCTGATGCTGTACCCGCATCATCAGAGCTGCTCACCCTAAAAAACAAAGGATGTGATTCCACAAACTGAGGCCAACCTGAACATCCTAAAGCTTCCGAGTGCCAACATATGAAAAAACTGCGTAAGAGTATTAACGATTAATAAATATCAGTTATGTAAATGTTTGTGCTGTTTATCCAGAAAACCCTGAAGTCACATCTTTTCAGGATCTGGTTGTTATGGACCCAGATTACATGTTAAATTTCAATATTTATATTACAGTAACAGAGTTACACGCATTAGGAAACATTTAGAATCATAACTTTAAAAGTTACGGACGGTTTTTTGGTGCCAATTTGCTTCACAGATATATTAGTGTGAGTGTGAAATGGTGAATAGAGTGCATTAAGTTAAAGCACTTTGTAGAAAGGCGCTTTATGGTTTTCAGTCCGTTTCCTTTTATTAGTTTACGGGCAGTTCTGCCAAATCCAAGATGGCGGACGCTCTGACGTTTCACTGCAGCAGACCAATAGGCTCAAGGCGGAAGTGACGTTTATTTGTTTACGTTTTCTTCGGCTAGCTTAGCTCCGGTGATTAGCTGTTAGCAAACTGTGCTGTGATATTCTGGAATTATCCCACATAGGAATCACATAATGGCAGCAGACAACAAAGCACCTTATGAATGAAGTCTTTAGACAGTTAAAAAACTCCTTAAACCAGACTTACATGCAGCACGGGCCGCTGTTTACCTCACAGCTGCATCCTGCACTTAGCCGAGAGTAGCCACCTGCTTCCGGGGGTCCTTTCACAATAAGAGCAGCGTTTCCTCCGGGAAATTTTTAGCGTCAGTTTTTAAAAAATGGTACATTTGGGCAAAGTTTGGGGTTTATCTTGAACTTTAAAGGTTGATGCTCAAATGTATTGAATAAAGCCATATAATATGAGACATTAGTTACACTCTTTACCTCACAGTTGGAGAACTTTAGTTTAAACATGTATATTCTCTGTATAAAACAACAAATTCGCTCTGAA